AGTTCACAGAAGTTTCAGATTATCTTTAGATAACACAGTTCATTGTTCCAGGTTCATCACAGTTCTTCACTGCTGGAAAATGAGGAACCTGATGTTGGTGGCTGTGATCCTTCAGCTGGTGATCACTGTAGATATTTATGGAGTAAGTTATTTATGCTTGTTTTGCTGTTTTCACTATTTTGTGGTGTGTTTCACTTTCATGACGTGATACTGTCAGAGTTCTAGTAGTAATATCTCTTCGTTTTCCATTTCTTCCATTCACAGTTCCAGTTTGGAGATATCATTGCTTTCAAAGCTAAGTGTGCTGTCGGAAACAAGTTTGAATACCGGCACTTTGCTGTTTATGTGGGCAACAGACAACTTCCTGGTAAAAAAGTCGGGGATGACATATTTGAACGCCTAAGTAAGTAAAAACTGAAAAATGCAGTCAGCCAATTAAAGCATCTTCCAATCTCACAGTGAGAGAGACAATAAAACAAACATCAGTTTGAATGAAAGCACTTCATCTTTACTGTACAGTGTATTGAAGGAGCTTTTCTCACGATTTGCTCGGACCAGCTCCCCCCACAACCTGGACTAATGAGGGGATATTCATTCACTAAAACACTGAGTGAGAAATACTTGTTTGGATTAGCAGGAGTTTAGCATGTTTGTGTTTTATCCTGACAGTCCAGAAACCTTTGCTGTTTGAATAAAGTTGCATTTACTTTACATTTACTGTAAATGTTCACATACAGTAACATTACCTCTAACAGTTTATTTCCTGGTTATAGAGGGGACTCCTCCTAGGTGTGTTTTCTCTAAACTCGATATGACGAAGGAACCTGTGGTGGCCAATTATCTTGATGGATACAAGGATCGCAAGAGAAATAAGCAGTACAATGCAGGAAGTGAGACAGAAATAATAGGACGGATCAAAGAAAAGTATAGGAACTGTGGACCGTATTTGATCGCCCACAACAACTGTGAACACCTTGCTACCTATGTGCGTTATGGAGTGAAGGTAGCAATGCAGGTACGTGGCTCATTCAGTGGTCCATTGCCATTTTTGCTACTGACACACTGACACACAATAGTAAAGCACATTTCATTAAGTCCCAACAGACTTTAAAACAATAGTGCTGAGCCAAATGATCTGGCTCCCTAAAGAAAGCTGGAATTCCCAGAAATGGGGAAACAAATGTAGGCCTTGTAACATCTGCCTACCAGCACCTCTAAACACACTCTTCATCACTGCCATTACTTTCATTTTATATTTTGAGATAATGTATGTCAGCAATGTCACAATGAACTTAATCACTTTTCTTTTGATTGTAGTTTGAATTGTCTGGTGAAGGCAAGTGCCACAGCGAAATCAGTAAAAAGGGGTTACTGAAGTACTTAAGGGACCAAAAGGTGGAAAGTACATGCCCTGAAGGCCCCGGCACTAGCATGGGTTAAGAAGTATTTCAACCCTCTCAGGCTGTCTTGCTCACTTCTGCTCTTTCCTGATGTTATATGATGTGTTATTGCTGTGGTAAAATGTGATGTGGAATGATATCAAAGTTAGAAGGATAAGTAAATTAATTGACATTTTATTATAGATCACGTTTGCTGTGTGGTATGCATCATGTTTGCTGTATTTACGTCCTATTTTGGGGCATATACAAGTATAACTTGCTTGGTCAAAGATTATAATTCTGATTTGATGAAAATTTAAATTAAAAAAGAAACAACAAGATTTAGCCACAGAGGAGAGAGGGTGTTAGTCAGGTCCCAGGACCTCATGCATGCTTTGCTTTTTGTGACTTCAATAAACCTTTATGCATCAGATTCTGCAGAACCTCATTTTTCTGACTTATTATTTATTATTATTTTTTTATCTAACGTTTTTAGAGAACTGTCTGCAAGATGTCCAGACCTCTTTCTGATATGAGGTTGGGAATTTTTCCCTGACATAATTTGAAATTAAAAAATGTATTTAAATTTGAGCAAGTGCTCTAGGTGTAAGAAACGGTTATACTGCCTCAAGAAATGAAAACAGAACATTTCAGAATCACTTGTCCATCAAAACAGTTTTGATTCAGATCAAAAACACGACACAAGAGGTCAGCCTTTTCAGAATGAATTGGTGGTAAAAACAGGATGGTAACTTGTTGTCCCACAAGCAACAAGTACCACATCAGGATCTAATGTGCAGCTACTGTAAGTGTTCATTAAGTATATCACAGAGAATCACTGTACTGATAACAAGGTGGCAACCAGTGTTTTATAGACTCCGGACACATTTCCTGAAGGAAAGTTTAACGAGAGTACTGGAGGAACACAATTACTTAAAAGGGAACCTTTCATTTCTTTTAAAAAGAACTAGTGGACATTCACTTGTAGTAGGAAATCTCGCCTCTCTTTTCATCTTGGACCTTGAAGCAGGAAATTATTTTAATACACTTTAAGAGAAATGTCTGTATGGATACATGTGTGTCCCTAAAGACACATAGACACACACATATTTACACATTAAAAAAAGTAGTCTAATTTCTGCATTTAACCCTGGACTGAGTGTCCCTGAACGCACCTCAATCCATTCTACTGAAAACATCAACTTTGCTAAGGTGCTTTGTAACATTAACTATATGTCTCTCTCTATTGCTAACTATTAAACAGTTAAAAGGCCTTAAATTGACATTAAATGTGTGTGATGTTAGTTTACCCATTACAGGAAATAAAGCCTCTCTGTAACATTGCTATTCCTACAGTGTTATCTAATTATAGTTAATGTTAACTTTAACTATGTCAACATAATAATTATTTGACCTAGATGGCACTATATCCTACACACTGGTGCTTTAAGTACATTTAACAAATTTTCCCCCGGGGATCAATAAAGTATTTCTGATTCTGATTCTGTTTCTGATTAAAAAACACTTATATTTGCCTAAAAATATATAGTGTATCTTAAGCCTTTATTAAATGTTTATATACTGCTTATAAATGCTAAATATGGGAAGTTAATCTGTGTATGTATACATATATATATATATAAAAGTAGTAGTGTAAAACGATTAGACTAAATCAAGAAATGAATGAGATTTGCCATCAAATGTCACCATCTAGTGGTCAAGCTGCCAAGTCACATTGGCAATGCTGCAGCACTGCATGTTTCTAAAGTGCTTTACTGGACAGGATTGCTATCAAAATGAAACAATAACAGTTACATGGCTTGTGTTAAAACTCTATTTACAACCTGTGGCACTTTTCAGAATAAACTTAGCAATAAAGTTGAATCACCTCTAATGTAGCCAGAGTCAGAACTGGAGGACTTGAATAACCCATAACAGAAAACATACTTTCTGACTGATTCTGAGACAACTTGCAAAACAAAGCAATCTGAACAAATATAACATCAGTGAGCAGCTACTTATCAGATTTTAAAATGATATCCAATCAGTGTTTCAGGCAGTAGAAAAAGGTGTAAAAACTATTCTGCTCAAAGAGGAAATACCAAAATGAAAGTCATTAAGAACACAAGTTAGGTGAAAATACCATCCATAAGTCCATAATAATTTCTCATTTACAAAAGACTTCCACATGTTTTGAATCAATACAACTCAGATGACTACACAAACGTTTGTCTGAAGTATACAGGATGCCACACTGGCCTTTTCACAGTATATGCATATGGAACGATTCAGATTGTTCTTTAGCAGAAATATATTTTTGTACTTTTACTTGGATAGTTTTCAGCACAAGAAATGAAGCATTCAGTCAAACAACAGCACTTGTACTTACACATAAATTTAGTTTAAACTTTAAAAAGAATGATCCTTCCTTGCATTATCTTAAACTTGAGTAATTAAGGAGTTATAAAGCCTATATTGTACATGTAGCTTGCAGTTTCCTGAGGGGAATTTTGTAATCTTTTGCAGGTTGATACTGTTAGACCTGTAGGCCTATTCATCGCCTTAACATTATGTGAAAAGTTTTGTTGTTGTTTTTGTTGTTGTTATATAACTATTCTGCTTGAGAGTACTGTATATTTTTAACATCGTCAGATTATGACAACTTAAAAAAAAAGACGTTTACCACATTTGTTTTATAGATTTAGAGGAAAATCTGCAAGCTTGCATAATGGCACAATGAGATATGTTTCCAGCAGTGTCAAGGATTTCCTCCCACCAGTTAATTTCATGCATTACTGTGATCTCTCTGTGACTGAAAGTGTGCTAATCAGAGAAACCAGCTGCTGTACCGTTTAAGTGAAAAAGTGAAAAACATATTATTCTTTTGTTTTAGGTTTATTTTTTCTAAACATATTCAACAACATATTCAGGATTTTTTGACATTCTTGCAGATACACAAACACAAAATGATGAGGAGGAGAAGTGAACACCCTCTGCTGCCAGTTACAAAATGTGCCAAAAAGTTCTGTAGCATTTTGTCAATACAGTCTTTGTCAATTTTTTTGGCCCTGACATCACCAGTTGGTGCCACCTTTACGAGGCTAAAGATATTAAAATCTGTGCAAAATTAGCCAAAAACCATCAAATTACACAGAGAAACTTTATATTTAAGTATTATGTCACCAAAGAGATGATGGAGAAATCGAGGAGAGGTTCATGAGATTAAAATGATCAACTGAGGGGGTGTTTCCAAAAAGTAATCAAGTCAGCCTGGTGATAATGCTGCATACTGTGGCATATTGAAAGGTACCGAATAACCTCCTCCTTCCTGTCTCCCATGTATGTCTCTGTCACATAGGAAGGGATTTACCATCTCCACAATGTGTGTGACAGAAGAAAACTGGCAGTGATCTTTTAAAATCTCCTCTGCCAATTTATTTACTGTATTTACAAGAATAAGGGGAATCACTAAGGATCCCAACAAAAGCTGATTTAAGGCCTTTGATGAACCTGAAACCTGTGCGAAACCAGTAGGCCAACTGACAGATCACACACAGAGACCCTTCAATCTGTCTGCAGTTTGAAACAGTTGATACATACAGAACAGACAACACACTGGAATAGTGAAAGAAAAAAGTTATATTTATTATAATAACTGCAGCCATGCTGTAGACAAATGAGACATACTGTATATAACATTTTAAAACCAGAATACTGGAAAGAAAAAGCCAATTTAAGTTTTTACAAATCATGTCAGGAGGCATCCAGAGGGAAAATATAAAGCCTTGCAGGGTGTGTGTGTGTGTGAATGAGTGAAAGGCAAGAAAACAAGTCTTGTGACGATCTTGCAGTAGGGATGTTGGAATGTGTTACAAGTTGAGTAAATATGTGAGCATAAAAAGCTCTGTTGTCTGAAAATAAATAACAGCAGCAGCTCTGAGCCACAAGTCACGTGATGGGAGCGAGTTCCTCCAGACGGCTGACGAAGAGTCACATGAGACAGAGTGTCTTCACATTTTACATTTCCTCCAATCCAGTCCTGTTTTACTGAATGACTTTTGGTTTGTATGGGCAGTACAGTATTACTGGTATATCAGCTGGGGGACACATTGGTCTGTAACCACAACAACAGACACTATCACATACAATAGAGATCGCTTTGTTCGTTTCTAAAAACGTTTGAAGACCTGGTAGGTCAGATTTCCTGGTGGGTCCACACATGTGCGGGTATTGGTGGTTAATAAAAACATTTTTCTTCCACCACCACAAACAAATCTATTTTACGAGACATATGAACTTGTATTGGACCCGCAGATCAACTGTTTCAATCTTGGAATTAGGCAATTAGGGAATCAGTCGCCTGATTCAACTAAATTCTGGTGTCGAGTTCATTAGCAGTTAAAAACAAAACAGTAAAATGTTGCGATCCTTCTGTCTCACTTTTGTTCTGACTTATTGGGGGAAAAACAAGCTACATATTGAACACCTGATCTAATCTAAAGCTCCCATCACATTGCGGTCTTCTTCATCGTCACCAATCCTCATCAGCGTGCGTTGACAGTAGCTACTCCACAGGCCGAATGCCCTTGGCCTCTTCCAGCTTCCTCAGGGTCTCGTCCCACTGGGTGAACTGCTTGGACAGCAGAAACATCTGCCAATCAGAGGTCAGGGGTCAGTGGGTGGGGCAGTTTATGTTATTAAGAAGACCGTGAGACACCAGAGAAAACCGGAGCGGCAATCTAAATTTCTCTCTGTTTTGCTACAGTGGATCCTAAACTTCAGTGTATTATTATTCTTTATCCCCCAAGACATAAGAAGAAGTTTGCAAAGACATGACATTTGATCCTATGGCTTTTGTGTATTATAATTTGTCTTGTGGTAATGAAATTTAAAAGAATTCTGTAAAACAGTGTACCATTTTGTTGTATTCCTCAAATAGCTTCTTCACTTCCTGTGACTGAGCCTCAGTTTGATCCTGTGAAAGAGACAAACATGGAGGAGTCAACAGATAAAACCTAATGAGAGAGACACACAAAGAGGCAACTGGAGGGAGAGAAAGAGGGAGGATACCTGTTCTTTGATGTGAATCTGTGACAGGCGCTGCAGCTTGGTGGCGTGTTCTGGTACATCTGTGAACAACAGACACACACACACACAGAGATAACACAGGCCTGTCAGGGTAAACACACTAATGAGGCTTCCCCGCTCTGTTTGATGTATTTATTTATTTCTCTGCATGACAAAATGTTGCCATGAGGTTTACAACATAATCATGGTTGAACACTGCCAGAGGCACCAGAAGTAGAACTGGGACTACGGCGTTCAGACAGGGAAACACAAGTGAAGCTGGAGAAACACAAATTCCAGCCAAATCCATTCATCACTTGCTGCAAGGGGTAAAAACCACAGAGCAGATGTTGCTTTGTCCTTGATTTGCTTGCTGAAACTCACCTCTGATGTAGGTGCTGTCCAGAAGTGGCTGCAAGTTGCTGACCTGCTCCAGCAAAGCAGCCTGGGAAAGCAGGAAGTCCTCCTCTGTGGAGACAAACACACAACAGCATCACAGTAAGCACTGAACCCGATGTAAGTTGCTCTTTTTGACTTCCACAATAAACAATTTCTGTATACATTGGACCTGTATAACATTAAACATTAGTATTATAAATATCATTTGGCTTCATATAGAAGAAATAAAAGCCTAAAAATAAATGAACTCCCTACGAGTCCTCTTTAGTTGGGCCCTCCTGGTTCTTACCAGCGAGAATGAACTCCAGCTTCATGGCGTCAGGTACAGTGATGTGGTCTGTGAACTGGGGGTCCAGATACTTCAGCAGGTCCTCAACTGCACCGCAACACAGATAAAACACGATTAAAGATTCACCAAACAGTCAAACCTCTGACTCCTGCGAGCTTGTAACATTGTGAAATGTAGACTACAGCATCCCCCTCCACACTGGCAAAAACCCGCCCAATACGATGCATGAATAAGTGTATCAACGTAAAGCAGTATTCTTTCTGGGGAACTTAATAATAATTACATATAGAAATCAATAAAGTTCTGTCTGTAATCCAGGGTTCAGGACATGTACAACTCAGTGTGCGACTCACTCTTCTTGTGCAGGATCTTCACTCGTTCTCTCTTGTTGGCCGTGTTGGTCAGACCTGCCTGAATCCGGGTCAAAGACTCGGCACACTGCAGGACAGAGGACAGTGAAAGGAGGGGATATTAGCGGACTGGAGGTTTATTACTTTCAAAAGGAACAGGATGTGCAGTATTACAAAGATTTGCTGATTTATTTTCAGATTTTTGGCCTGAACTTCACCCGGAATAAGCACATTTATTTGTGTGAAGCATCAGGGACATAAAAACACTTTCTCCACCTCTGCAAATCCAACATGCACCAATGTTCAATGCCCCTTTGTGAGCTGAAGAGATCATGTGACGCTCAGATGATTCAGGACCACAGCACAAATTTGGGACAAATAAAGGAGTATGTTATCTGAACACACTTGTATGTGACTCCAGCTGCGGTCAGTCTGCAGAGCTGTGTGTCATTTACATTCACAGTAGTACATTGTACAGTACATTCAGTAACGATCCAGTAAAGGACCGAATAAAACAGAAAACACATCATTAAACAGCCAAACCCAGCAGCCGTTCAGCTCGTGGATAAACACCTCATGTCTGTTATTGTGTGACAGTAGAGTACGAGTGCGCAGAGTAATCAGATTACTCGATAACAACGTTACAGTTTAGGGCGTTAGCTCTGCGGAGCTAAAAGCAGGCTAACTCCTTTATTAACTCGTAATAACACGTTTTATTCCGGACCAACCTTCGCAGGTTTCCCACTCTTGTTTCTTCTCCCGCCGTATATGCGACTCTCCAGCGCCTGAAGACGCATTTCCAGATGATCCGGGTCCAGTTTCTGGTCCATTATTGAAGCTACAGAACCGCAGCAGCAGCACCGGCGACGTGTTTAACAAGCGGCGGCGCCCACTGATGACGCGTTCATTTGTTTGTTTATTTATTTATTTTGTTTTAAATGTAACCTGGTTTTTTTTTAAAACGTGCAGTTTAAGATATAAACTACTGAAGCGTATTGCATTTACTTGAAAAAACAAACGAAACGAAAAAACAAACGGGTTTTCTGAGTAATTTATTTTTTGTTTGTTTTTCTGAGTATTTTTTTCTGTTTTTCTGAGTAATTGTTTTCTGTTTTTCTGAGTAATTTATTTTAGTTTTTCTGAGTAATTTTTTTCTGTTTTTCTGAGTAATTTTTTTCTGTTTTTCTGAGTAATTGTTTTCTGTTTTTCTGAGTATTTTTTTCTGTTTTTCTGGAGTAATTGTTTTCTGTTTTTCTGGTATTTGTTTTCTGTTTTCTGAAAAAAATTTACTCCGAAAAAACCAAAACCATAAAATAAATACTCAATAAAAAACAAACCAAAAAAAAAAACACAATACGCCTCCTCGT